TTATCTGATATTTATCCCTTCTCCATTTGCTTCTCCTTATTTTTCTTTTTCATCCTTATTCTTTTTTACAATATATTTTATATTTACGGTTTATATTTTCTAATTGGACCGATTCTTTTTTTTCGATTCTTTTTTTCGAAAATACTTTATTATTATAGAAAATACGTTAATACTTAATACTTTATTATTACAGAAAATACTTTTATTATTACTTTATATACGTCATATGACATATGTATACACGCATATGTCAAAAAGGCTTCCGCAACTAACAGATTACTACTTACAGTATCATCAATCCACAAAAATTAAATTGTGTTGTCTAAGGATTTTACTACCAACATTATCCCCTCTTTTTTATGGAAATGTCGTGTAATCTGGTTTTTAAATCCTATGTTCCGAATCACAATTCGAGCACTCTCGAATCGTCATTGGTCAGAAGATACGACGATTCGATTGGCCAGTCTGCAAACGCGTGCCAATTACAGACATGCTTCATAAGGGCTGGATTCCGTAGAGCGCATTTTGCTATACATGGCATGAACTATAGATAAATGCGCGATATGCGCTTTACGGAATTCAGCCTACATTGATAGAAATGGATAGTAGGATTGGCTGCGTTCAGCAGAGAAAACATATCAGTGAGCGTTCAGTGATTCTTTATTATGATTGGTTTCTACACTTAGATTCAACGAAGATCTAAAAGCAAGGACCAATCATATTGAAAAATCACTGATCTGCTTTTTTTTTTTTTTTCTGTTGAACGCAGTCATTATGATAGGTTGACCACTATCGTGAATGAAAATTTGACCAATTAGAACAAACCCTGAAATTTTTCTATCCTCTAATTGGCTAAATTTCAATTTGATCTTAATCCTAATTCGTCTGCGATAATACAAGCTTTAGGCGGACAATTACGAACGTACTTTAACCGTCGACGAATGTCAGTGGCCCGTCGAATCCTCAATGATCACAGCGCCTTTCCTCGCACATACCGCCCGTATTCCCTTTCCACCATATTCCGGGAACTTCTGCTGTAAACTCCGTCTCCCTGTTTCCGATCCCCCTCGGCCAGAAAACGTCCGGCTTTGCGTTGCGAGGGATCACGGTGGTAGGAAGGCAAGGCGAGCTGGCGAGGCGAGACGCGACGAGGCGAGACAAGGCAGAGTAAGGCAAAGCAAAGCAAAGCAAAACGAGGCACAGCAAGACAAGACAAGGCAAGACGGGCAAATCAGTCAGGCTCGGAGGAAACAGCGACGGCAGAGAAGTGGGGATCGCGCAGCCATTTTCTATTTTTGCATAGCACCGCCGAGTGAGAGCTAGTGCGTGCGTGTGCGCGCGCGCGCGTGTGGTGTGTGTGGTGTGTGTGTGTGTGCGTGCACTGAGGGGGAGCCGTTTATTTTGTTGTGTGTGATACGAGATCGATGGACTGACGGCGATCAGCGACGTGCTCCTCGCGCTACGAGCGGCTGTGTTGTGACATGAGATGATCGTTCGGCGACGCGCGACGGAAAAGTCCCGCGATCGTGCCACTCGCGGAATCGCCAGAATACATCCATTCGCGCAGCTCTCCGTGTAAACTCCATCCTCCCCCCTCCCCCCCTCTCGTTCTCCTTCTTTGTCTCTGTCTCTCCGTATCGACGCTCCGTATCCGAGCTCTCTTTCATTCAGCACCAAATAGATCCCCCTCGCTTTCGAGTCTCTTTTTCTCTCTCTCTCTCACTCTTTCTCTCTTTCTCTCTCATTTTTTTCTTTCCCTCTCGGCTATCCGTTCGTCTCTCCGAAACGGTCGGGGAAGAGAAGTACACATCGGCCCATCGAGGTTTCGTCGATCGCTGGTCGAGCCACGACACATAGAGGGGCAAACCAGTCTGTGATACTAAGCAGTACTAAGCAGTATATATATATATATATATATGCACATGTATATAGTTTTAGAGGTGTAAACCATCAGTACGTATATACAATAGGCAGGTGCGCGCGCGCGCGCGCGCGCACCGCTGTTCTGTGTATGCGCGGCGTGTGCGCGTGTGTAGGCGTGCGAGCCAGCTAGCGATCGCGCGCGTCCCGTGCGTGCGTGCGTGCGTGCGTGCGTGTGTGTTGCGCGCGCGCGGACTCTGTACGTGGTACGTGTGTATGGATGTGTATGGATGTGTATGCGTGTGCGTGTGCGTGTGTGTGTGAACGTGCCTGCCACCGCTCGTGTATGGTGTACGAAAGGACATAGAGATAGAGAGATCACATCCCGGTAAAGATAACGAGTCACAAGGGACGAAACGCCGGTATCCGCGCAGGACGCCGCATCCTACCCTCCGCCGATCGACGAAGGCCGAACGCGATCAACGCCACGATGTCTGTCGAGTCTGTGACAAGTGACAAGCAGCAGCAACAACAACAGCAGCAACAGCAACAGCAGCCGCCACCGCCACCGCCGCCGACGACGACGACGACGGCGGTAACAGCGACAGCAACGACGGCGGCGTCGACAACGACAACGGTGACGACGACGACGGCAACGACGACGACGTCGTCGTCGTCGTCGACGACATCGGTGGTGACAGCGACAGCGACGACGGCGAAGAAGAAGGAGGAAGGTACGAGTCGACTGAGTGGCAATATTATTTTTCTTTCTCGCTTCTCTCGTTTTTCGAAATGAAAATTTCTCCGAAGAGCGAGCAAAATGCAAGCAAAACAATATTCTTGAGTCGAGACAGAAATTCGCTTAATCTTCTGTTATGTATGTGACGCTTTGAAAAAGAGCATGGAAATTTTGTTAATACATTGTTATTTGTGCAATGAATATTCTCTCGCAAGTATGCTCATTGAAAGGAGGAAATCTGTGCGCTTTGTTCTTTTCTTTTTAAACCGCATTGCATTGCACTTTTTGAAAATTAAAAAGAAGGATCTAGATGGAGAAGGACTGCGAGACGGAGAAACCATGTTATCAATTCTTGTGAGAAAAGAATCACTTCTTGTCTTTACTTCTACATTTTTAATTTCGGTTTAGTTTATTCTTTATATTTTTCAAGTTCTTAAAACTGAAATAGAAAGGTTGTTGAGTTAAGATTAATCGACATTAATAAAAATGGATAGTAACTTGAAAATTGAAGTCTTATTCTATAAATTTGTATTCTGTAAGAAAATTTTCCTTTCAGTTCACCTGTGAATGAGCTACAGAATAATCTGTGAGTTGCTACACAAATTTGGATTGATAAAAGAACTCAAGTCAAAATTTTTTGCCAATCTTGGTTCTTCGCTTTGTCATCTATTCTGTTTTTTAATCAACTCTGAGTATAATGGACGGACAGAAGTAATTCTACTTAATATTTTACATTGCGTTGTATTGTTCTGCTTGATATCTTTCCTTCTTTTATTAGGATTATTTTGAACATTAATTTGACTTTTTTTTTGGACTGATTCTTCATATCAAGTTTTTTTTTTTATAAATATTCATTGTTTTCGCCTCTAGATATTCATGGCATGAATAATTTATTGACAAAGTGTTCCAGTGTTTTCTTCAAAATAATTCAGATTAATAGCGGATCAAGCGAATTTCTGGATCGAGCCAAGGATATTGTTTTGTTTGCATTCTAATATTAGATACATCAAGTAGGATTTACTTTATGCATACGCGTTTATTTATGTGCACTAGGGTTTTGTAGGACAATCACGATTTCTAGAAATCTCCCCCTGGACAAGAATCAGTTACACATTCAAATCATCCCCGTGGGGCCAATCAAGCGCTCACTTATCTAGGATCCTTTCAGGAAGGCTTTGATTGGTTTGCGAAAGTGTTATCTTGTTCGAAGACGGTTTGAGTCAGCCAGTCTGCACTGTACTCTGCTTACACGACGGTATATTCTTTCCATATCCGAGTTGTGCGAGTGATATACAGGCAGCGGTTACATAGAGAACCTGACTAATACACCTAACGAGCAATCATTTCGTTAATAGAAATATACGCGAAATTTTCTCAGCCTGTCACGTTGATAAAGAATCGGACGAGCAAC